AAGTGCCCCTCTCCATTGAGCGTCCTCATTTTAGCCAAAATTTTATCTAAGTGCCCAGTGGCTTATTCAAGGAAAATACAGTAATAGTATAATCCCACAAAAAATGATTTTTGAAACCAAAACCTTTTAATGAAGTGTGGCAATGCAGAAGATTAATTCTTCAGTTTGTAAGAGCTAGAGAACAATGTATTATACAAATATTTTGTTTTGTCATTACTGATTTGTAAAAAGCATTCCTGCGTCAAAAAAGTGAAAGTTTAGATTACCATTTTATTACCTTGTCAATGCCCATTAAACACAGATCAGCTTTGGACCCCTGCAGTAATATTGTTGTTAATTTTGCAATGACTTGTATTGTCATACAATACTTTTTGTGTTTTATCAGTGAGATATTATATTAGTTTGTGGAATCTTTATAAAGCCACAAAGCAGGTTTCTCAGATCACTGAACTACCCTTTTCAATACCAATCCCTAAATTATAACCAGTTATGATAACCATCCTAGCTTACTGCAGTCCCCAGTGTATGGAAAGCAGATCTCCCCATTTCCCATACAGTTTGATGAAAGTGAAGTCTTAAATTATTAATATAATTTTCTAATAATTAGTTTTAGGTTCAAAGATAATTGAAATTGTGCAACTGAATTTAATTTTGTTTATGGATTATGTGCACCCAGTTTGACCAATTTTTGTACATGTGTGAGGAAAAGAATGAAATTAAGTGGTCAAATGTAATAACATTGAGATGTTCAACATCTTCATAAACCAAAACTTGCAACAATTTAGGTTACCAGAGATACAAGATTGACTGCTTGAAGTTTTAACAGGTATGAAGTAACTTATGGTAGCTTTGGGTTAAAATTTGTTTGATGTTGTCTTCAGGTTTTGGTAAAAAATGAGATTTGTGGCTTGAATTTCCTTGAAGTTATGATAAGGAAAGGTGCTTTGCCTCTCAAGGCTGTAGGATCAGGGTTTCCTTTGACAATGGGGGTGGAGGCTGCTGGAATAGTGGAAAAAATTGGTGCTAATGTCACAGGCATAACCAAAGGAGAGAGAGTAGCATATGCAGTTATCGGATCTGGTAAATAAATAATATATTTTGTGGATGTTTTAATATGTCCCTGAGTGACCACTCAGTCTGCCTAGTCACCTCATACAAACAAGCAGTTCTCCAGAACAATAAACTTGTGTATATGAAATCCTGATAGTTGGAGCCTCCCATGGGCACTTCAAACCATTTGTAAGCAACTGCAAACACGTCAACAATGAAATTTTTATGGCAATACATATATAATAGTCCATTTTACTGTCACATGCTTGGTTACCAAGCCTTTAAACAGGAGTGAGGCTAAGAGCAACATTGTTATTACCATGCCAACTAAATGGTCTCTATCACAATAAGGTTACCTTCAGCCTCACTCCAAATCAAAGGCTTGGCAACCAAGTACACAACTATAAAATGGCCTATTACTGAAGCTTATTTATATTTTAAACCTTAATACGGATGTCAATATTAGATGACAAGATTCTTTATAGACATGTGTGATCTAACAATGGAGCTTACCTTTTTTGCAAGAACCATAGACATATTCATACTGGTATATGCCAGTTCCCTAAAATACTGAAATTGTGAATCTTCCACTCTCCTGATAAAAGTAGGTGAAGGAATCTCCTAGGTATGTCTATTTACGGAGGATACATCAAGTAAAGTCTTTTGCCATTGAAAAAATAAGTAGGTTTACCTAATTTTATTATGAATTTTTGTTGATTTTTCTTCTGGTAATTCCAATAAAGCAAGTTGCAATTTGTTTGGAGCTGTTAATTTTAAAAGTCAATTATCAAATTTAAGATGTGACGAGAGAGGTTGTGGATTCAATCTAAAGTCCTTCAAGTGCAAATGTCTTGAAAGATCAAAATTTATGCAAAGTTGTGGCTCAAACAGTGACTACACCCTGACTTGTTATGCCAACTGTTAAGCATTTAGACTTGAATTTTAAAAAGATAACATAGCCTGATACCATTAATAATTTATTACTCATTTTTATCATCAGGGGCACATGCTGAATATGCAAAAGTGTCAGCATCAAGACTGGTGAAAGTTCCAGATGAAATTAGTCTTGAGCAAGCTGCTACATCAATGATTCAGGGGATGACTGGACACTACCTTGTGCACACAACTGGCAGAGTGAATCCTGGTGACAAGGTGCTGATACATGCTATTTCTGGAGGGACTGGGTCACTTGTTTGTCAAGTAGCAAAGAATGCAGGTGACAAAAGCATTCAAGACTGCAAGTGGGTCATTTTTGTTATATTAAAATTCGAACTTGACTCCAAGGCTTGGGGAAATAAAACAATGAAAATCACATCGAGGTTGAGGAATGAATAATTAATTTCTTTTGTTTTATCCCCCCTAGCCTTGGAGCCATGTTAGAATTTTGATCTATCAAAAATGGCCCATTGGAGATATACAGTGGAATATTTTGAAGGGGACACTCTCAGGACTAGTATAAAAGTAACTTGAGAAGATGTCCCAAAAAGAGGTTCCATTTTATACTTGAAAATTTTTTAGTTATCTTGTGAAAAAACAAGCTATGTCAGTGTCACTCTGTAGTACTTTTGGAGAGGAGCTCTATTAGGGTAATTTTTAGAGAAACATGATTTTAAATAGAGGGACTGGGCAAAGTAAGCAGTAGTTCAACAAATACTTATAAACCCTCAAAGACGATATGTAGCCTATTTACTGCATAACTAGACTACTGGTTAAATGTTAAGATTGAGTTTTTGGTTAAAAGGAAAGTTTGGAATGGAAGGTGACACTTAAAAAGGAGGGGTGTAGATGCTGGGAGAAGGGATGGAAAAGTGGCAAGTGAATTTTATTGAGTTACTGTTAATTTGTCTGCAATTAGTTTGCCTTCATTTGAGAAAATTCATATAACCCGTTTGTTATAGGCAATGAGAAGAATAATAAGGAACTTCTTTTGCCAATTTCCTTTTACTTGTCTTTGGACTTCTTTTAGTCTTGCTAATTTTCTAGTCAATTAAATAGGCCTTTTGCAGCTAGAGATCACGTGCATAGATACCGCATAGCAATGCCATACTGGAGAGCAAGCAGTCCAGTGATCTCAGACAGTATAGAGGTCACAGAGGTCTGCAGTCAAACAAAGAATACAGCGGATAATTGGTCAAAAGGTATCCCAATTCAAGAAATCCAGTAAGAAGTAATCAACAGCTTCCCCGGAGTGTACCAGCAGCAAAATCACACCAAAATTCATTTTTCGCTGATACACTCCAAGGAAGCTGTAGATTGAAACTTACAAGATTTCTCGAATTGGGATACCCTTTAACTTGTTATCCGCTGTATTCTTTGTTTGAATGCAGACCTCTGTGATCTCTGTTTTGTCTGATATCACTGGAGTGCTTGCTCTCCAGTATGGCGTGGCTATGCGGTATCTAAGCACGTGATCTCTAACTGCAAAAGGCCCATTAAGACCTAAAAGGTGAATTACTTCAAGACCATGATTTCAATATCTATCAGGAGCGTTTGTGATTGGAACAACCAGCACTGAGGCCAAAGCAGCAAAAGCGAGGGAGGCTGGTGCCGATGAGGTCATTCTTTACTCACAGAGAGATTTTGCAGAGGAAGTCAACAGGATCACTGATGGAGAAGGGGTGAATGTTATTTACGATGGTATTGGAAAAAAAACCTTTGAAAAAGGTATGAAGTGGATCGAATGTCAGGGATATTTATATTTTTTCGTTCAAGTACAACAATTTCCTGATTTATCTCAAGGAAACATTAGTACAACGGAATATTCTATTATTTTTTACATTATGAGGTAAATTATAAACCCATTTTAATTGGTTCTTACCGTTTTCGGGAGGACAGACGCGAAAAAAGAAGTATTTAGACCATTTTACATTCTTAATCCTTGAAATCAAGAAAATATGAATCTTTGCGGTCATCAAAACTCAAAGGTTTCAATGGGAACGGATCGTTTAAGTCACCCTGAAAGCTGCCCTTTATGAGATTCTCGAAAATAAACACTTTCATTTCATGTTTCACGTAGGAATGTATAAAACCCGTTCACGACAATACCTGTCTTCAGTCTCAATAGAGATATCACGATGTAGTTTAATGGGTGCCTTGTTATCTTCAGTCTCTTTCCTGTTTCGCTGCAGACTTCGAGTGTTTAGCTATGCAAGGAAAGGTGGTGTCTTTTGGAGTAGTTTCCGGGCCCCCTCCTCCGATAGATCTAAGTATACTCGCCAAAGGATCATTCTCCGTCTGCCGACCTTCGTTTTTTCATCACATCAAAAAGGAAGAGGATTTGAAGTGGCGTAGCTCTGAAGTGTTTGAATGGATCAAGACAGGCAAAGTGAAGTTTGGTGACTTTACTGTATTACCACTGTCCGAGGGAAAGAAAGCTTACGAGTTGTTGGAAAGTGGAAAATCTGCAGGAAAAATCTTGATGAAGCCTTGAGCTGAATAAATACTTAATCGGTTAATCTCAAGAAAACTTTTACTTGGTGGATTGTAGCTTGAAAAAACAGCATGAAATGCTAACGAAACTTTTTTCAATATATTTTGTTCCAAGTTAAATGCACTGGAATTTTCTTTAGCGGTGGATATTTAGGGTTTCATAACTTACGGAAGGGCCGCTCAAGATAACTTTACGAGTTTGGCGTTAAGACCAGTGTTTGTGTTTTTTCTCAGTTCCATTCTATTTATGATTATTCTCTTGAAAAGATCACTGAATCTTGTACCAATAAACGAGGTGCTGGCTCCAAATTACATAATAATATTTAAATGTCAAAATAAAATAACGACTGTGGCACCATATGTTCTCGTGTTTTAGAAAAGGTAGAATTAAAACTTGTTGTGAAGAAGATCTAAGGTTTGGTCTAATTCTTCAATTCTCAGAAGTGATTAACATGAAACTTCTCCCTTTAATATCCATACATTATCAATCAAACAGATAATAATAATAATAATAATAATAATAATAAGAATAAGAATATAAGAATAATATAATAAGATAATAAGAATATTCAGACTTATCGGGTAGAAGCCGTTCTCCTGATCCAGCACCAAATTCTTGTATGTGATTTACAAGGAAATGGTTAGCAACTCGAGCGAAGAATTAGCAATAAGGTCCGATTGAAAGGGTTAGGGAGTAAACCTTGATCAAACCACTTTGTATGACGGGGCTTAATCATTAAAATTCTTAGAATTAAAAAGAAAAATGTTAAAAACATTTCGATAACTCACAGGTAGCCAATAGAACTGAGTGGAGTCAAATTCTGTAGTCATATGCATGGAGTCTAGGTCTGAAATCATATGCATGGGTGATTAGCAAAGACCGCAAAGCGGGAGTCTGATTCAATTAGTTACGAATATGATTACGGACAGGATTGGACGACACGAAGTCCTATTACCAATTAATAAAAACTATGGCAAAGTTTGCGAAACAAACTTGCCATCGGTTTAACGTTTTCATGAAAAAGAAAATAGTTAACTCGGCGAAATGCGCGACAACAAATCCCTACACAAAGTACCAGCTTGTGTGTGTATGCGTGCTCAGAAAGAGATAGTCGTACTAAAACTAGTCACGCTATTTAAAAGATGTAGATAACCAGACGTTGTATTTTTTGTTTTTGAATGCATGGAGTGTGTTTGAAGCCCCAACACTTTCGGATGTCTCTCCATATTTTCTTCATAAGTATGCCTATGAAAGCTCTGATTGTTTAAGAGTTCGGTGGCTCGTTAACGATAAACTATAGTGAGGTTCTCAAACCAGACCCCGCAGAAGAGAGGTAAATAAACTCAAGTCCAATTTCCCCCGCTCTGGAAATGTTTCAGTTGTTAGGGGTTGTTCAACTCGCTTAGCCCAATTAACCCGAGGTACTAGGACTCTGTACTTTTTTAATTCTCTTCTAAAGGAATTGACTTCTACTACAGCGACACTTCTTCTCTCTGCACTAGCGAGAAGTACCAACGTATTAAGTAGGAAAATCGTTGACATGTTTGGGTTAGCTGACCGTGAGAGTTTTCATAGTGTATCCGTTCATTTGCAAAAGGGGGAAACTGGGTGGCCCCCACCGAAGTACTCGACGAGCGCCAAGGAAACAATATTAAACGCTAGCAGTCGAGTAGCCTGCGTGCAGCCGAGCGAAAACCCCGGTTTTATTCGTCTGCGAATCAAACCGGGGTTTTCGTTCGGCTGCACGCAGGCTAACAGTCGAGCTGCGCACAAGAATCGCGCACGCAAACAGGAATTTCAGTGTGGGTCACTCAAGGTCAGCTTTACCAACCCAAACACGACCACCTATGAAACTAATTATTCTCAACCATAACAAGCGATTAAAATGTCTAACACGGTAATAAGGGAATCCGCGAACTGAGCCTAGCAAGTACACACTAAAAATAAAATATCAAAACTATAAATCTACCAAAACAACACGTAGGCGCAAAAGGCAAGGCTTAACAAAAGAAAAAGCTAAACTGAAAAAGTCTCAATAAAAACTCCAAATTACCTCACAACACTGTCGTTGCATCTTTATTCATGTGTGGCAATGTCGAATAGTTAGTGATCATGTAATTGAAGGTGAAATAATTCATAACAAGCGATCAATTGTCAGTATTAGCCTCAGATTTATATCGAAGATTCTAAAACGCAAAACATGTTAAGTTAAGCCGTTGGCGCCATTGGCAAAATAATGATAATGCCAGTGCATGTTATTGTTCATCTACGCTTGGCTATTTGGATGAATTCTCGCATACTGCTCTATTTCAAAGGCTGCGACTGCAAAGCGCCTAACAGTTCAAACAACAGTATTACCCCACAAGAAGTTTAAATATAAAGAGATGGGGACCAATTGTCCCCAAACCCCACTGAATATTTCGAGACAATACGGACATGTCGGTTTCTTTTTGAATGCGGCAGCCTGTCCCAACTCCCATTGTAATAGTAGAGACGTCAATAAATATAAAAATATTTTTGGGTAACCTGTCTTAATTCCCAATGTACTAGTATTGATGTCAATAAATTTTAAAATAGTCTGTGTCAGCATGATCGCATCGCATTGGCCATGTGCGGCGAGATTCCAATGACTAAAATCTGATTAGAAATTGCGGAATTATATTTCTTACACCTCTATGAGAGGTCGACCTTAAAAAAGCAAATTATGTTCTTAGGCCCACTTACCTAGTTCAAGATCCAGGTGGGAGAAAATACGACAGAAAAAAAAGGCAAGAAAATATTTACACTATGGGATTCAAATAGCTCCGTGAAATAACATATTGCCCTTTTCGGTCTCGGAAATCAGGCAAAGATAAGACGCAGAAACCCTTGAATAGTTACTGATCAAAGATAAGAGTTTCTCACACGGAAATGTGATTGTTTGCGAATGAAATCTGCGGAAAATACATTTTTCGCGCGAACACAGCGGTTTCCGGCTCAGCTGACACCAGGGCATCAACCAATCGATGGCGATTGTTATAAAATTGACCAATCAGAGTAGAGATGCAGCTGACCGCCAAAGAACGAGTTGATCGTCAAAAATATTAATATCCACGCTGCTCCGCTGTTGTATATCCAATAAAGATCGCTTAACCGCACATTGTTCGACAAGGGCAGAAAGATGTCTGAGGACAAGAAGACCGTGGTTTTAGCTTACAGTGGAGGTCTTGATACATCTTGTATCTTGCTTTGGCTCAAAGAACAGGGGTATGAAGTGATTGCTTTCATGGTAAGTGGAATTTGTTCGTGATAATCTGATGTTAAAAAAATAAACGATCCATCTATCAGAAGCTTATCATTTCAAACCGTATCCGTAAAATTTACCCTCGCTGAAGCCAATCGTTTATTCGATGATCCCGAAGTCAACAAAACAACATGTGTTAATCTGAGTTTTTTGGACTCGCGCAGTGAGCTTTATGTACACGTTTGTAACAACCGATCGATTGATGAATCATCTTATGTCCAATATGCAAATGATGGAATGGAAATCGAAATCGTACACTAGCTGAAGTCAAGCGTGATCTACAGCAAGCTTAGAGGAACAATAAACTTATTCATTTCTTTGGAAACGACCGAATCATGCTGTGATATTAACTAAGTGTTCCTAGATTCGCGAATTTTGATTCGATTGGTTTTTTCTCAGGCAGATGTGGGACAAGATGAAGATTTCAAGGAAGCGAGGGAGAAGGCCACAAAACTAGGGGCAAAAAAGGTCAGACGATGATAATTCGAAGTGGCCCTGAAAATGCCACGTACTAATAGCCCTTGTTATGAAAGGGAACCTGTATTTATATAATGTTAAACACACCGTGAAGTATAACCTATCACATTTAACTAAACTTTGGTTTCTAATTACTGAATATAAGTAAAAATTAGTTTTTTTCTCCGAAAGCATTCAGAAAATATAGTTCATTGAGGATGAGTTAAAAGTCAGTTTCTCAAGGTTTGGCTTGAATTGGAACCTTTTCTTTGGGCGAAGTAAAGCTATCGTGCGATTACCTTGAAAGAAAAACCGCAGTTTTTGTTTGATTTCGTAGAGGTTTTCTGTAATGCTAATGATGGTAATTGCAAAGATAAATAAGGATTTTATTGATCTTCTTTGCCAGGTGCCTCAAACAGGCGCTTTTTGGTACACCAGTTTAACTTTATGTAAACTTTGAGAAATTTGTGTGTATTTCATTTTTTCTCCTCTCTTTTAATATTGCCCAATTTAAAATTCTATTTTTATTAGATACATGTACAAGGCCAATATAGATTAAGAATATTAGGGTATCCAGCAGGATGTTTTCTCTATTAATGATTAGAAATCCTTGCATGTATTACTGGAATTTTATCAGCGTAGGTTTTGGTGTCATGTGAAAATCCTGTGGTTACCCATATGGTAATGCATGACACAAATTAATAGGCTCTCTTTGAAATGGTATTTTTCATGACAACCATCACCATAAATGGCTCTAAATGACTCTTCATATTTTTTCTAAAGGTACCGTAAATGTATTTATTGGCCTAGTATATCAAATTGATTTAATACAAGTCTATTGACCACTTTCATAAATGGCTGCCTGATTAATATTCTTTTGTTTAAATTTAAATTAGCCTTTCTGGCCTCGTTCTCCAGTTCAAAATTCAAAAGAATACATTATCTCAAGCAAGGCTAGTGAGGCTAATTTGAATTTAAACTAAAGAATATCAATCCTGCAGCCATTTATGAAAGTGGTGTATGAGAGGGTACACTCCTTTTTAAAGCCCAAACAGGTATTCACCAAACAAAAGCACCAAACAGCATGTTTTTTTTTTTAAGTCATGAAAAACAGCTCATCCAAATTGAATATCTACTGTCATGAGTAATGTGTCTTTCCAGACCCAAATTCTTGAATTGAGTGAAATGTTGGAGATGCACAGTTTTCATGTGTGCTTTCAAACAACTTTTTAAAATCCATTTTTAAATATTCTATTTGTATAAATTATACTGTACCAGCCAAAATGAGGTCAAAATTAATGCCGTAATCTGTAACCTTTGTTTTTGTTAATAGGGTTATGAAATTAATGGATATTGACTTTAATAGGGTCAAGGCTAGGGCTTCTTCCTTGCAAGCCCTTCCTACCTAAACTCCAGGAGTAAATTGTGAAATTGAAAACTTTTCATCTTGGAGTGTTTGTTGACAAAATTGAGTTATAAAGTCTTGTGTTTTGACCCCTTTCCATCTTAGACTTAAGCTGGTTTTGTGTTCAGTGTAACTTGGATTCGAATTTGAGGATCTCTCATTATGTTGTTGGGTCCTGGATTTTACCCTGCTTCTGCTATTTACTTTACTGCCACTCAAAGTTTGGACACAGCTTTATCCTATCCCCCACTTTCTTCCCACAAATGATTATTTATTTATATTGACCCTTACAGAGAAGATACTCATAGATAAAAATCAACTTGTGAGACCTTTTTTTAATGAATTATGGTGTTCCAATACTTTTTACACTTAAGAAATTTTTTATTTACTGTTCATGGCAGTGGACCATTTTCTTACATATTGCAACAATAAGGGCATTTTTTCATTTGGTACAACAGGTGTTTATTGAAGATTTGAGAGAAGAATTTGTGAAAGAGTTCATCTTTCCAGCTGTACAAGCAAATGCAATCTATGAAGATCGCTATTTGATGGGGACAGGTAGATGCTATATTTACTCCTTACTTGGTGCTAAATTCTATAAATACCTCCAAAAATAACGTTTACAACTTCTTCATCAACAATTTCTTTGTCATAGCTGTTGCCAGGCCTTGTATCGCTCGCCGTCAAATCCAGATTGCTCTTAAGGAGGGTGCAGAATATGTATCCCATGGTGCTACAGGAAAGGTAAAATTGAATCCCTCTCAGTGAATGTTATTGTAGTCCTGGCAGTCAAGTTGATCTCAAGGTTTCTTGTTAGTCTAAACCATGAACATACCTAGTGATGCTTTTTTTGTAGCTTGAAGCTGTCATGTACAGTGGTTAAAATGATTTCTTGCCACCCAAATTCAAGCATTTGCTTAGCTTAATCTGTGTTTCACAGCTTTCTTTAAATTGTTAAATGTAACATTATTGAGTTTGAAATACATTCTTTATTTGGCAAGTTCTAGTTAAGGAATTGTAACCTTAAGTATTTGAGGAACCAATCACTTACACTTGCGTAACAGCGACTTTCACTTGATGAATTTATTTAACAGGGTAATGATCAAGTGCGTTTTGAGATGACTTACTATGCACTGTATCCAGGGGTTAAGGTACGCTGAAAGCTTCTATTACATCAATGTTAAATCTGTTTAACCCTGTATACCATGATTTTAGAAAGCATATTCTCCATACTATACTCTATACAATTGTTAAGGGGCTGACAAGGAGAATTTGCTTAATGATCAGGAGCTTCTGTAGTTGTTGATCATTTAATTTATTCTCATGGCCATAATGTTTGATTTAGGGGTGATACTGTAAGGGGAAATTATATTCTGATCACTCTTAGAGGTTAACAGATAGATTCCTGATTGCTATACTGGTGCATCTGTTCAGTAATACACATGCAGATCACGGGTGAGGTCATAATGTTGTTAGAGCAAAAAAGTGGAACTCAAGACACACCTGAGTGTTTCACCTGCTGGAAAAATAAACTCCTAGAAAAGCTGCTGTAACGTACAACATAAAAGTAAGAAAAAGTTTTATTGCAAAATATTTTTTACTTAAAGCAGTTGATTTAAATGATGTTTCAAGATTAAAAAAATTTAGCTTGAAAATTTAAACCTGGCCACCATTATGACATAATTTGTTTTCGTAACGCATGATGACATAATTGGTACAGCGGTGGGTTTATCGTGCTTCAAAAACAGTTGGCTTTCATTCCTGTCACTTAAGATCATGACAAACAAGTCTTGACTCTTAAGAAAGCAATGATCTTTTTGCTACATGATGGACCCTTTATTGACTAAGCTTGTTCCATCAAGATGGCTGGATATTAGTCTCATTCTTTTTTCTGTTTTTATGAGCCTTGACTTCGTCCCGGTCCAAATAACCGAATATGAGGATTCTGCCAATGTCCAGCCATCTTGACCTCAAGCTCGGTCAATAACACATATTTGTATAATTTTTTTAATCAACAGGTTATTACCCCATGGAGACTTCCAGAATTTTACAACAGATTCAAGGGAAGAAAGGACCTGTTTGACTATGCAGAGGTAAAAGTTACTTTACTTTACCGCATTACCGTACTTTTCTCAATCTCGGTATGTGTGTAAAATTTTCATGCTAAAAAAATGAATGCATTTATTTTTATATTCAAATAATGGTTTCATTCTAATTAAGCATAACAAAGTTCATCAAAATAATTAACAACACATTTTAAAATGGATTTTCAGTTTTTAGCATTGCACACCAGATAATTGACTTTTTCACATTTTTGGGCAGCAAAAGGGCATTCCATTACCAGTCACCCCAAAGAAGCCCTGGAGTATTGATGCCAACCTTATGCACATAAGGTGAGGATTTTACCACCAAATTAAGTTCTGTAGAGTTAATTAGTAGTTGAATAATTTATGACCTTATTTGAATCACTGAATTTCATGTAGATGTATGACATATCAATAATTGTCATTGCTCTTTGTTCCAGTTATGAATCTGGAATTCTTGAAAACCCTAAGGTCAGTCAGTGTGAATTGATCATTTGGTTCACATGGTACTTTCATCTTAATTATTGGAAATATTGACCCAGAAGAAGCTATAGTTATCTTATTTTCTGGTGGAAGACAAAGATTAGTAAGCTGGCCTAAAACTGGAATGTAACATCTTGAGCCCCATGTCTTTGTAAGGCCAGTGTCATTATCTTGTGTTTTGAGAAAGACAGTTGATGTTGTCTTTGTAGGTGCCTCTCTTTACCAAGGAGTTTAAATCCATACCAACAAACCACAAGGGATACATGACCAAGTACTGCTTGATAACCTGTAATGTTCTATCAAGCAGGAAGACTAATATTCCTATTTGCTTCAGTAAATAGATCTCAATAGAAATTCTCCTTGCTGTCTGCCATACAATTCTTATGATATTAGTTTGGAGAATTTGGTATTGAATAAACTACTAATCGCTTAGTTTATAGTTTTCTTTACTCTCATCACTTGTCTGCCTGATATTATATTAATATTGTAAGGAGAAATTCTCTCTTGGTCACCCATGGGAGCGAAAGGGTTAGGTGACTCAGTCTTCTATCAAGACCTTACATATTTTACTCTGCTAGCTCGGCATTATACATGTACTACTCTTTGTAACAAAAACCTTTTTTCAAACTCAGACCATGGCTCCAGATGATCTTTACTGCTTTACAGCTGATCCAAAATCTGCTCCTGATGAGGTAAGCTTTTACTGTTTCTTGTATACAATCATGACTTTCCTAACACTAACCTCTTGAATGAATCATGTACACGTAGGTGAGGTGATGTTATTTAAATTTTGATCAGAAGGTGGCAAAGGGCTCGTAGGTGATGCATGACTAATAATGACCCCTCATTAAATGTTATTAGTTAATATATCATTATTATTAACTTTATCTTTGCCTTTCTCTTTCATCAGCCAGAACAGCTTGAGCTCGAGTTTAAGAAAGGTAAGTATTTTAAACTTTACTTGTAAAATATCCATCCTTGAAATTGTGGCTTTGTTTTACATGGATGTTTGAACATCTAAACGTAGTGTTTAATACATATTTCTTGTAATTATTTAATTTTCATTGGTTTGCAAGTGGTACTACACATTACCCTGAACTCTGAGTTGTCCAACAATTATTTGAGGCTGACTTCTAGAAAAAATAATGTTAACTGGAGGTCTGGTGGCAATCTGGATCTCCTCTTTGCAACATAGTATATTGTGGAAATAAAAGCAGGTTTGTGGGAAGATAGCCTGGTACCCTGTGAAGTCAGGAAACAAGGACAGGCAGATCCTCCAAGTATATTTCCTAGACTTCTGTTTTCGTGTTTTTTTTTTGTTTTTTTTTTTCTTTTCAATATGCACAAATAACTTACCTGTACCGTGGGTCTTAGCTAGTCGTCCAAGGGACTTGTTTTTTGTTGTTGTTGTTTTTTTTTTAACCTGAAACAAGTTAATCCACACGCACATGGGCTCACCCCTCTTATCTTTTCAATGCCAGGTGTGCCAGTTCGAGTTCAGAACTTGAAAGATGGCACGGTGCATGACAAACCATTGGATATTTACCTTTATCTCAACAAAATGGGGTCAGTATACATTGCTTGGAAACTTAATGATCATTTGAGACAAGATGTGTAGAAATAGTGTTAAATTCTGTAAAGAAGTTAAATTTTAATACTTATGTAGACTTACCTAGACCTGGATCCAGATCTGTCAAGATGCAATTAGCGGTTTTCTCAAGCGACAACTGGAGTATAAGAAAAAAAAAAAAAACACTCGTGTTATTGACAAAAAGTTCATTGATAATTGTCAATCTCAAAGTGAACAATAGACGACCCTTCCTAGCTTAGTAATTTGTCACTATTTTCGCCAGAATTAACCAAGTGCCCCTTCCCAGTGTAATGTTTATGTTAATTACCAGTACACCTGGTAAAAATAGCGGGCACATTTCCACATCCGACTTGCTTTTCTTTCAATGTTTTAGTGGTCGCCATGGTGTTGGAAGAATTGATATCGTGGAAAACAGATTTGTTGGAATGAAATCCAGAGGTGAACGGTTTGCTGTATTGCATGGTTCCAGTAAATCTCTTGGCTACGTGCTTGTAACCGACGTCCTTTCTTTCTAGTTATCGAAGATTAGGAGAAGAGTAAGAGACGAGGAGAAATTCATTTATTATGACTTGCAAGCAGCGAAGAGAGTGACGCGAAAAGAAAAGAAGTAGCTTGTGCCCCATGCCTCGCGCGTTTCCTGAACTTTTGCCAGGATTTGCGCTATAAATTTTTATTCTAACGCCTGCTACTTGGTGTAAACTGTATGGTGCGTTTCCGTCACGTGCGCTCAGTATATTGTTTGTTTTGCCATATCTTTTCTATCTTTCAAAGGAATCTATGAATGCCCCGGTGGCACCATATTGCGAGCTGCACATTTGGACATTGAGACATTCACAATGGACAGGGTACGTTGTGAGAGACTTGAGTTCCTTTAATGAAAGATAAAGCCATGGAGAGTTGACCTGTAAGCGTCTTATCTTCATCTCTATATGGTAGGAATTGCGTAAAATCAAGCAGATGATGGCCGGCAAGTTTTCAGAGCAGGTTTACTATGGATATTGGTATAGTCCTGAGGGGGATTATGTGCGCTTCTGTCTGGACAAGAGTCAAGACAACGTGGAGGGAAAAGTGACACTGGATCTGTTCAAAGGAAATGTATGTTTTCTCAATTTTGCTGCAGTTTTCGTGAAACTTTATGCCTGCATTAGATTCTCTCCGCTACACTGTACAATATACATTTAGGTTGTAATCGTACACGTATATTGGCAACATGCATCAGGCATAGGAACTTTGCCATTAAAACGCGCGCCTGGCAAAAAACGCGTGCGCATAGTTTTTGTCATTTCACGCCGCCTTAGTAAGCGTATTACCAGTCGTCGTTAGTTGACCGCCCGAAACGTTCGTGACGTACTGCGGGAAGTTTTTCATGTTGTTCCAGATACATTTAACTATTTTAGTGAATGTTTATTTATGTATTAATTTTCATGTTTAAGGTCTACATCAGAAGCCGCGAGTCTAAAGCATCCCTCTACAACGAGGAATTAGTCAGGTACTTCACCTTTGTCCTATATATGAATCGATAAATGTTTGCAAAGATTCAAGGCTGAATGTACTTGTCATTCCCTTTGTTACATTTTAGTAATGATGGTGACTTCTGCTTTGGTTATCAAAACGTCAGGCACTACTACCGAAAACAGTTCTTCCTAGGGCTACCCTCACCCAGACGATCACACCACACCAATATATCCGTTTCTTATGTAGTATTTAACTTCAAAATATCCCTTTTTTTTTTTTTCATTAAGGAAAATGTATTTGCCCCTTCATGCAATTCGGCTATTGAGCGTTAATTTCCATACGTTGAGATGACGTTACTTACCTAGTCCTGCTTCAGAAATTCTCAAACATTACTTTGGAGGAAGTACGAGAAATTTATGTGTTCTTATTTCTTCCTCAGCATGGATACCATTACTGGCTACAACCCACAAGACGCAGCTGGCTTTATCAGAATTAACGCTTTGAGGTAAAAAAAAAACATTTTTTATGCACATTTAGTCCTTATAGCAGAGGCATAGCTGCTCAAGATTATCGTCAGAGAGAAAAAGAAGTCAATTGGGTCACGAAACTAATCCAGGAATTCATTGGTTTGCTTTTCTTCACTTTGTGATTGGTTTAGAATACTTGTGTCATCTCAACCAATCAGATGAAAGCTAAAAGTAATCGTGACTTCATCACACGCTTTTTTTTTCGTGCTTCACGAAATTTTCTTGTTTCTTTTTTTCTGAATTCTTATTGGCTCCTTGAGATATTTTCTTCTTTCCTATTGGCTGTTATGTTTACTTTGTCTTGGGACTTAAAGGTGGCTGAACACAGTTTTCGCGCGCGCTTTTGCTGATGCAATTCAGCGCGCGCGCAAGGATTGCAAAAAACAAACATGCCGTCAATAGAGCGGTCGTTTTATTTACTCAACACGTATCCGCACTATCTGTGCTATTTTTCTCTATACTTGGCGCAGTGTTTTGAGGGCTTTAATCTTTTATTACAAAGACATGTTAGAAAAGTTAACAGTGCAAAGAACCCAGCAATTCTCAGCTTTTTCGTCGTTATCGAGAGAACCCAGTTAAATGCAGCGCATGCGTAGTAAGTCGAAAAATTGCGATTGAATGGAAAATTGCTTTCTCGGAAATATGCCTATTTCTTGAGAACCACTCATTAGAATTTCACGAAATTTGGCACGAAAATACTTTAGGAAATAAGTAACTGGAGTATCGAAAAAAAGTATTTTTAATAGAAGAAATTCTAGATAATCGAGTGAACCTTCAACAAGAGATAATTAAAGATCTCTGTTAAATTGTTAGCAAAATGGTGTTAACTTGTGAGTATCGTTACAAGCTCTTTGCATGCAAATTATTAAGGAAAACTAATGACTAGATTTTCTACAAATGACCAAAACCGATTTTAAAGGCCTGTTTATATTTATTCATGTCGCCATGACAACGGCACATACGTCAGCTTAACTATCAAAAAAACAAAGTTTGTGTTGTTAACTTGCTTGCTGCCAGTTTTGGTGACCTAGAGATCAAGGGTTTTAGAGAAAATGGTGAAAGAAACACAGGTATCAAAAACTGTGTTCAGCCACCTTAAGTGAATCACATTTTTGCCCTCAGTAAGTCTTTAATAAGCCCCCCTCTTCCCCTATTTTTCATGTAAAAATGTGTTTTTTATTTAGGTTTTGGAGGCTCACTGTGAACTGAATTCTTAGTGTTTGGTTTTTCAAAATAGTTTGGAATTGGATCTAGTGGTTTTGGGAAATAGCCTGTGTTCAAACTTACATGCACTGTTTGATGAAGATTATTGCCTGGTTTTACATGTATTGTATCAATTATCTACCATCGATAATTGTCTATTTTAAATTGTTTTAATTTCTAGAAACAAAGGATAGACCATATCAAGCAAGAGATAGAAAAAATACAACAGGATTTAAGCAAGATGGGCGAAGAGCTGTCAATTACCAAAAGACTGGTATTTCCAGTTAATATTGACTTACAGTAAAATAAGTTGTCAGTCAATGATGGGTACAATGTATATGTATCAGGGCTCGACATCAACTTTTCAACTCACTTAAGCCAAGTAGCTAGTTACAACTTAGATGTTACTAACCAAACTGACTGGTGGAAATTGAAAACCACCAGCCAAAAGTGAATTTCTACTAGTCTGTGGCTAGTTTAGTTTTTTAGTGTCAAGCCCTGGTGCACATCTTTGAACTGGACATTACAGGGTTTACCATCAGTTTCATCCTACAAGATTTTATTTTGGAAGCTAACCCACTATGTAACAAAAAGAGGTGATCCAGTAATTTACATGTGTCACAGCCAGGCTTTTTCCCATTAGCATTGTATTAAATGAATGTAAAGTTCTTTATATCATTCCAATTGTCATTTCCCAATTCAAGGCCCATAATCAGTTTAGGATGTGTTGCTCTATAGACTTGTGTTTCACAAATTTTACAAGACTAATTTTTATAACAGTGGAGGACAATATAATTACAAATATATAAAATATCAAAATTCATGCCAAAGAAAAAAAAAAACAAAAAAACAAATGAAATAAAACAGAAATCCTCCATAAAAATGTTTTAAAGCTTCATTTCCCAGGGCAATGAGCTACCAACTGTACCATTAAAATCATATTTGAAATGCTCTGTTATTTTATAAATGGATGTGGTCAAGCATCAATGTACAACATTGTTTAATAATCGTGTTATTACCTTACATACATTTTGTAGATTTAGTATGACTGTAGCATAAGTGTGATGAATATGTCAGGACATCTACTGATTTTTTTTCATCTTTAACTTCCTTTTGGTTCCCAGGGCTTCATTGAATACCTCTGTACTCATTTGAAGAAGTTATCTGAAATAGTAAAGAGTACTTTTGAAGAGATTGCTGAATGGCGACATCTACAACAGAGATCCCTGTGTGGTTTTAAGGCTCCACAGTCACTTGACAAACTACAAGAAATGTATGATGGTGTTATTTATGTAGTGTAGTACTAAATGGTAATTATTGTAAGTACGAGTACGTGTTTTCCAAATTTCCACTCTTATTCCCGTACATGTATGCAGCTGTTGGCATTACCACATTACAAAAATTTGCCCTCTATCTATAATCTTTTATATCTATAGCCATTATTTGGTACACTCTTTATTTACAATGACTAGTTCATTGGCCTCATACACTTGCATACATACTGACTTTCACTACACAACAATTATACAGTCAATCAGTTTAATAAGTCACTCTGATCTTAGGTAATCAAGTACTCATTGTCTTTTCATAAGTCATTCTTGTACCTACATAATAATGCATTTTTTTGTTTCATATTTTGCTTTAACTCAAAATTTCCTGTCAAAATATATTTTTAAGTTAGATGAATGTGTTACATCCTTAAAAGCAAAACTGAAATTGAGGAAATATGTTTTATTTGTGATTCTTATGTACTGTTTTGAATGACATTGAATTAGTTATATATGATTATATTAAGTATCTTAAATTGAAATGCTCTCTCTTTTTTCCTTTGATAGTTGTGAAACACTTGCTGAACTTCTGTGGAAGTTGTTTCAACAAGCTTCCCAGGTTAGCACAGAGGACTGCGCTTTTTTATGTTCTTCTTCGGGTGACATACATATCACTGGAAAGTATTTCAAGGCAATTTATTGGAGATGTGGGGTAAACCAGGCAGCAGATTGATTTGAATTTACTTTCTGGGTTGCTCTATTGCATTGCAAAGAAGAGTAGACTAATAATAGTGACAGTGGACACTGCTATGATATGTGCTTTGTCTAAGGGTTTTTCAGCAGAATCTACGGAAATGTATTTTTATTAATTAAAAGTAACGTGCACAAAGCTGCGAATTTTAATATGTATGTTATACGTGACTGTACATGAGCAGTTAATTTTTTTTTTAGCTGGACAATCTTTTCCATCAAGCATTTCAGGGGAATGAATTAGAACTGAAGCGAATGGATAATGTAAAAACATCAGCAAGAAACCTCATGAAACTGTTCTTGACTAAGTAAGTCCTAAACAGAAGCATGTGTCTGATTGTTTTTTTTGCATTTAGCATGCTGCCCTTCTTAATTTTGGTAAAATATGTGCATTCAGTTGAGAGGCATGTGCCGTGTTCCATTACCTATCTCCACAATTACCTGAATGTGTTATTTTACTTTGTAGGACATTTATCATAGAGAAACAACCTCCTCAAGTCTTAAAGATTCAAACCAAGTTTGGAGTTGTGGTGCGGTAAGCATCTACTAGCTCATGAAGTTTTCATGTTTGAGTGTCAAATGAGTTTTTGAAGATGTGCACTTAATTGATACTGAGTAAGTATCAGATAATACTAATTTCCAATTGATATGTGTAGGCATCTTCTTGGTGGAAAACTGAATATCCAAACGCATCCACCAGAGGTTACCTGTACGCTCATTTCGTAAGTACCAACACGGTTTTATCAAATTAAACGGTTCAAAATTTTGATTATAGATGTTAGCTGACTTCTTTTTATATTATGTTTTGAAGTGAAAAGCAAGCACAAGGTCTTAATGTTGGGAATCGCAAGAGGTAAAAACTACTGTTGAACTTTTATTACAATTTGTTCTTTATGATTTATGATACACATGAATCTACCCTTTTCCTTTACATTTTCCCGTATAAGAGACATTGGCAGGTATAAGGTTGGAAGATAGGGTAAACCTGTCTCAGTACTAAGCCAATACCCATTTCAAAGTACACCGCTGATGTTGACAGTTTAGGATTTATAAGCAGCAATGATTTTCATTTTGGATGTTGTCAGCATTTGTGGGTGGTCAGTGTTACTCGGTTGTCCGAGTAAAGTAACGTGAAGTGGTTTGAGCGATTATTGCCTTGAATTGGAATTTCTCAATTATTGGCAACTCAAATAATAACTTTGTGCTTATTTTAGTGCCAACATACCAATAACAGTGTTTCTGGTAAAGTTATAGATAAAATATATTTTTGCGATAGTGATGCTGTTTCTTTTCGTTATGCAGCAGTGTATCATCAAACAACAGTCCTGTGTTGAACAACAAGAAGGTCGGTAGAGTGTTTGCTGCTCTTTATTGACCTCCTGATGGATGTATTTTTGGTGAAGTCCAAATGAATTCTAATGTCTTTCTTGTTTTTAGACACTGGAATTCAACCAAGTCACAGGGAAGCTGATTGGTGAATTCAAAAACTTGGTAAGCTTCTCAAGGAATGTTCAGTTGTTTGTCTCGCGAGTTACAGTAACTGTCATTTGTAGAATCAAACAATCAATTGAGGATCACATCGTTTGGAGTATTCTGTGCTGAGTTGCAGTATAACAGTCGAATGTCTCAGTCTTCCAAGGAAAGCATGTCTACAGGGGATAGTGACTCTGAATCGCGAGGAAAACGATTTTTCGTCGTGTGTCAATTTTGTAAAAGCATCAAAACTCAAAATAGTTGGCCTGTTTGGTGCTGAGATCAGAGGGAAAACGTTTTTAGCGGGAACCATTTGGAACTTTGTTTGTATGATCTGGGGCGGGTCGTTCAAAGCTGGGTCAAGGTACCTGAAAGCTTAAATAGAAAATTCAATTTAAATTCTTTTGTCTATAATTTAATGATTGGATTTTCCAAAAAGAATAGAGAACATGTTCTCAAAAAGCCTTTTGAACATTTAGATAAAGAAACCTTGATTAAAATTTAACGCTGGGTTAGCATTAATCGGCCTTCGAACAACTGCGCCCAGGTGGTTTTTGTGAAACATTCCGAGATATTGTTGGAAACTTAATATTACGGGAGGAGGAGCCTATTCCTCTGCTCATTTTGTGGTACGCGAAAAATTATTATCGAGACTTAACAAGGTTTTTCTTCCGTATATATGGAGTAGTTGTTATGTAAATGGTTTGAAGTTGATTATATTATTAGGTTGTTTATTCATCTACGGTCAGCAAACAGTGTTGTTATGGTGTCTTTTAGTCTCTGGCCAAAGCCACAAGACAGGGCGGTAAGAACAAGGAAGTAGTCACAGAAGAGAAGTCGGCATTACTCTTCTCCACACAAATCAACCTCGGAAAGGAAATATTCAATATATCGGTAGGTGGAGCCGGGAAGAGCAGGGGATGAACCAGTGTTGAGGTTTTCAGCGCTATTTATACAGCCTAGTTGTACTTTTGAAACTTCCCTGCACCAACAGAGACAACAGACTACAGTGCAAAAGAAGAGAGACGCCGACCCTCACAGTCCTTACAAAGACCTTCTCGACTAGCTACTACTCGTTAGTTAGTCTTATTTTACGAACCTCTATCTCGCAACCGTTTTTCTTCTTTTAATTCTGTTGTCATTTGTTGACCGGTCACAATACAAAACATAACCCATCGCACTTTGCCCCGTTGGTTAGTACAGTGTACTTAGTCCTTGCATTGTTTGTGGTCCAAAGGCGATTTCAGTTCCTGTGGTTGTGACAGTTCATGGCAATCAACAGTGTGATGCTGAAGCAACTGTTTTCTGGGACAACGCATTCGCTGACAAGGTCAGATTATATATTTAGTTCAGAAGAGATCAACAAAAATGAAAACATGATAAATTTTTCAGTGATCGTAAATCTAACCAAAGGCCAGTGCGCGTCATAGTCCGTTGCGTAGCTTGGTATGGGCTGCAGTACGGAAATAAACCTTATTAAAATGGGTAATACTGTTACCCATTGGATATTTCGTAGATCGCTGACCATCGTTACTTATGTTCCCCCACAAAATTTGGTGTCGTTATATTGATTCTGCTGAGAAATTCTTGGCGAAGAATCTAATTAGCAAATGATTTCATTAGGTTTTATTTAAAACCTGTCCATAATAAAACTGGTTTAACTATGATTTATTAATTTTTGCATAGGAAAGGAAACTTTTCGATGTCCCCGATCAAGTTGAATGGCCCCGCTTTGCAGAAGCTCTGAACAAAAGATGGGCTCTTAACAATCAACTCCCACTTAGCCCTGACAGCATCGCGTTCTTAGGGAAGAAGATTTTTCCAGGTGAAACCTTTTTGCTAGACCTTTTTAGATTCAGTTCGTTTTTTCCTACTTCCTTTAGTCCGGAGAATTTCCTTTGTCAATTTGTAGAAAACGGGCAGCAAATCTAACCTTTACAGAGGTCGTAAAAAACATCAATTTCGTTTGTATTTGTAACGTTATCATCCTTAAAATTCTGTTTTTATTTTAAAGGCAAAATGGAGGGAGGTATGGACAATGCCATGGTTACAAGACAGCTCTTCAATAGGGTACATATTTGTGAAATATTTTACAGTTATTAAATTCTTATTCAACAGCAAGTTCTATTGTCTACGTGATTATAGAACAGTTTTTTTTTACAATTTTATCCGCAGTTTGTTTTGGCTTTTTGAATTATTGAGCTAGTTAGTAAGAATAGATAGATAAATAGATATTCTGTTACTTCGAGTCAATTTGTAACTCAGTGCTTATGTACATTAGGATCATATGAACGGTCGCTCCTTCTCCTTTTGGAAATGGTTTTACGGAGCCTTAGATGTGGTGTCAAGACGGCTGCTGGACGAATGGAGGGACGAGTATGTGAATCAAATTTCCTTCTATCCTGTTTTGCACTTGAAGATAGGCGGATGAATTATGTTTAAGTACAACCATAACCATAATTTTTCTCGAATTATTCATTTCTACTTATCTGTAAAAGAAAACGAGCCTCGAACATTTGAATGTGGTAGAACTGTGCAGGCGAGCGGGATCATTGACTGGGATGTCTGTTAAACACGGTGGTCAGGGGACCACTGGAACCAGCTAAATATTTCCTCTTTTGGTTGTATAGCTTATGAGGAAAAACAAAAATGTATGGACTTGTATATAAACGTAAACAGACAAAACAAAGGAAGACTGTAGCCATGAACATTACTGGTTTTTATTATAGACGCGTGGCTGGTTTCATCAGCAAGAATATTGCGCATGACATGTTAAGAGGCTGTAATTCTGGCACGTTCCTGCTGAGGTTCAGTGAGACAGAGATTGGTGGAATTAGCGTCGCCTATGTTAATACATATGACGGTGGTAAGAAAGCCAGTTACTCTATACGAGGTGAACATGCTCTTAAGCCGGGAAAAAGGTGCGCACTGCAGTATTAGACATTTCTTGAGGCTTGCTTGGGAAAGCTATTTATTTTTGGATATGCCCAACCTGCTTTTATCTTCACTCTCCGACTGATTTATTTGAAACTTCACGAGTTATGAAGCGATATTAGGGGAGACAAGTTTTCAATTTTAGAGGGAAGAACTTTTACATAAACTTTTGCTCGTCGTACGTGAAGAATAATTCAACGAAAAAATATATATGTATTTCGGCTCACCTCAGAACAGACAGGTTGGGGAGTTTTTTCTTAACTATGAAGGTATTTTCCACAAGTCTGAATCTCGTAGAGGTTGGTACTGGTGACTTAAAAAAGGCATTTTGAAGCAAATGATTCCTTAGGTATTTGTACCATCCCCAAACCCTGTACACGGCAAAACTAAGGAAAGTGTGGAACTTTCATCACTCGGATAGCAAAGATACGATGAAAAGAAAAAAGGGAAAATCAAAACAACTTATGCGTGTGTCTCACCGTTGTGTGGTTTAGGTCCGTGTGAAGTTTTCGATGTGGCTCCATGGACGAACACACATCTGCAAATGAGAAAATTTTCTGACCGACTAAAAGACTTGGGAGAACTTGTTCAGCTTTTCCCTAACATAGCCAAAGATGACGCTTTTGGTCCGTACTATACCAATGATGGTAAGTAAGACTATAACTACACTGTATCATTAACAGAAAAGGACATGAAAATACCTATGGAGTAGTTGTGTCGTAAATTGCAGTGAGGTTTCTTTTAGTAACTACCCTTGCCGCCGTTCAACCATATGATATTCATATATTTGTTTTAACAAGTATTGGTAGTTTCCTTGCTATTTTGGGTCAATGCCATTATCAAAAGACTGAACATCCTTTGACAAAATCTGGCTCTGAGTAGTTCTCACACCGCGACGCAAAACGTTCAGCCGACAGACTAAAGTTTCTGGTCTACCTAGAGATACCTCAAACATTTCAATAAATATATCTTATTAACCAAGCGCGAGGGCCGCACTGGGAGAATATCGGCCCGAGGTCTTGACAATACGGACCGAGCGCAGCGAGGTCCGTACAAAAAAGACCGAGGGCCGGTATT